AAAAGGAAGAAAAAAGGGGGGCTGACAGAAGGGAGGGAAGACTGAGGAAAGTAGTAGTCAGAAGCAAAATACTGATGAGGAGGGACAGGGTGAAAGAGAGAAAAGTATAAACAGGGAGAAAGATAGGATGGAGGGAAATAAACAATAAGTAATCATAACTGTGTATGTAAATGTGATGAACTCTTCCATAAAATGGAAATGGAAGCAAAGTGGATCAAAAACCAGAATCCTACAATATGGTTTTTACAACAACACACCTGAAGCAGAGAGAAATACACAGAGTAAAGGTAAGGGGTTGAGTAGAATCTATTATACTTCAGTTGAAGTTAAAAAAAAAAAAGCAGGGATAACAATCCTGATCCCCCATAAAGCAAAAAGCAAATATAGACCTAATTAAAAGAGATAATGAAGAAAACTGCATCTTCCTAAAAAGGTGCCATAGAACATGAAGTAATATCAATTGTAAATGTATATGCACCAAGTGGTATAGCATCCAAATCCTTAGCGAAGTTAAGTGAGTTATAGGAAAAAATAGACAGCAAAACTATACTAGTCAGGAACCTCAACATCACCTCTCAGAACTAGATAAATCTAACCACAAAATAAACAAGAAAGAAGTTAAGGAGGTGAATAGAATTTTAGAAAAGTCATATATGAGAGACCTCTGGAGAAAATTGAATGGGATAGAAAGGAATATGCCATTTCCTCAGCAATACATGGCACCTACACAAAAATTGACCATGTATTATGGGATAAAACCTCACAATCAAATGCAGAAAGACAGAAATATTAAATGCATCCTTTTTAGATCATGATGCAATAAAAATTATATGAAATAAAGCACCATGGAAAGACTAAAAATTAATTGGAAACTAAATAATCTAATAATAAAGAATGAGTGAGTCAAAGAAGAAATCATAGAAACAATAATTTCATCAAAGAGAATGGCAATAATGAGACAATATACTAAAATTAATAGGATGCAGCCAAAACAATTCATAATGGAAATTTTATATTTCTAAATGCTTACATAAATAAAATAGAGAAAGAGAAGATCAATGAATTGGGCATGCAACTAAAAAAGCTAGAAAAAGAACAAATCAAAAATCCTCACATAAACACCAAATTAGACATTCTGAAAATCAAAGGAAAGATTAGTAAAATAAAAAGTATGAAAACTACTGAACTAATAAATGAAACTGAGAGCTAGTTTTATGAAAAAATAAAATAAAATAGATAAAATTTTGGTTAATGTGATTTAAAAACAGAAAGAAGAGAACCAAATTCCCAGTATCAAAAATGAAAAGGATGAACTCACCACCAATGAAGAGGAAATTAAAACAATAATTATGAGCTATTTTGCCCAGCTGTATGCCAATAAACCTGACAATCTAAGTGAAATGGATGAATATTTACAAAAATATAAATTGCTCATATTAAAGAAGAGGAAATAAAATACTTAAATGACCCCATTTTAGAAGAAGAAATTAAACAAGGCATCAATGAACTCCCTAAGAAAAATCTCCAAGACTAGATGGATTTACAAGTGAATTCTACCAAACATTTAAATAATAATTAATTTCAATACTACATAAACTATTTGGGAAATAGGCAAAGAAGGAGTCTTACCAAATTCCTTTAATGACATAAATATGATGCTGATACCTAAACTAGGAAGAGCAAAACCAGAGAAAGAAAATTATGAACCAATTTCCCTAACAAATATGGATGCAAAAAAATTTAAATTAAATATTAGCAAAGAGATTACAGCAACTTATCTTGAGGATATTACACTATGCCTGGGTGGGAGTTATACAGGGATGGTTTAATATTAGGAAAACTATCAGCATAATTGACTATATCAATAACAAAATTAACAGAAATCATAGAATTATCTCAATAGATACAGAAAAGGCTTTTAACCAAATACAATACCCATTCCTATTAAAAACATTAGAGAGCATAGGACTCAATGGAATTTTCCTCAAAATGATAAGTAGCATCTATCTAAAACCATCAGCAAGAATGATATGTAATGGGGATAAGCTAGAAACATTTTCGATAAGATCAGGGGTGAAACAAGGACATCCATTATCAGCGTTGTTATTCAATATAGTACTAGAAATGTTAGCTTTAGCAATAAGAGAAGAAAAAGAAATTGAAAGAATTAGAATAGGCAATGAGGAAACAAAACTATCACTCTTTGCAGATGATAGGATGGTATACTTAGAGAATTCTACAGCATCAACTAAAAAACTACTTGAAGTAATTAACAAGTTAAACAAAGTGCCAGAATATAAAATATGCCCACACAAATCAATGACATCTCTACACATTACTAACAAAGCCCAGCAGCAAGAGCTGGAAAGAGAAATCCCATTTAAAGTAATTGTAAAAAATATAAAATATCTGGGAGTCTAACTGCAAAGACAAACCCAGAAACTATATGAACACAATTACAAAATGCTTTTCACAAAAATAAAGTCATATCTAAACAATAGGGAAAACATCGATTGTTCATGGGTAGGCCAAGCTAATATAATAAAAATAACAATTCTACCTAAATTAATTTACTTATTTAGTGCCATACCAAGCAAACAACCAAAAAATCATTTTATAGAACTAAAAAGAACCCAACAAAATTCATCTGGAAGAGCAAAAGGTCCAGAATATCAAAGGAATTAATAAAAAAAAAATTCAAAGGAAGGTGGCCTTGCTGTATCAGATATAAAACTATATTATAAAGTGGCAATCATCCAAACCATCTGATACTAAGAAATAGAGTTTTAGATCAGTGGAATAGGTTAGTTTAGGAACACAAGACGTAGTAAATGACTGCAGTAACCTAATGTTTGATAAACCCAAAGACTCTGGCTTCTGGGATAAGAACTCATTGTTTGACACAAACTGGTGGAAAAACTGGAAAACAGTATGGCAGAAAACAGGCATTGACCAACATCTTACACTGTATATCAAGATAAGGTCAAAATGGATATGTGATTTAGACATAAAGGTTGATGTCATAGGAAAATTAGGTGAGCGAGGAATACTTTACCTGCCAGACCTATGAAGAACAGAATTTATGACCAAAAAAGAGATAGAGGACATTATGAAATGCAAAGTGGATAATTTTGTTTATATCAAATTTAAAAATTTTGCACAAACAAAACCAATGCAACCAAGATTAGAAGGGAAGCAGAAAGCTGCAAAACAATTTTTATAGTCAGCATTTCTGATAAAGGCCTCAGTTCTCATATATATAGAGAGAAAACTGAATAAATTTATAAAAATGAAAGTTATTCCCCAATTGATAAATGGTCAAAGGATACCAACAGGCAGTTTTCAGACAAAGAAATTAAAGCTATTTATAATCACAGAAAAAAATGCTCTAAATCACTATTGGTTAAAGAAATTAAAATTAAAACAACTCTGAGTACCACCTTACACCTATCAGATTGGCTAATATGAAGAGAAAAATGATAAATGTTGGAGAAGATAGAGGAAAATTGGAACACTAATGCATTGTTGGTGGAGTTGTGAACTGATCCAACCAGTCTAGAAAGCAAATGTGGAGCTATGCCCATAAAGCTGTAAAATTGTGTAAACACTTTGATCCAGCAATACCATTACTGGGTCTGTATCACAAAGAGATCATAAAAAAGGGAAAAGAAACCACATTACAAAAACATTTAGGGCAGCTCTTTTTTGTTTCAAAAATTGGAAATTGTGGGGATGCCCATCAATTAGGCAATGACTGAACAAGTTGTGGTATGTGAATGTAATGGAATACTATTATTCTATAAGTAATGATGAGCAGACAGATTTCAGAAAAACCTGGAAAGACTTATGTGAACTGATGCTGAGTGAAATGAGCAGAGCCAGCAAAACACCATACACAGTAACAGCAGTATTGTGCAATCATCAACTATCACAGACTTAGCTCTTCTCAGCAATCCAATGGTCCAAGATAATTCCAAAAGTCTCATGATGGAAAATGCTATCCACATCCAAAGAATTATGGTATCTGAATGTAGATCAAAGCATACTATTTTCACTTTTTGTTTTTTCTTGTGGTTTTTCCCTTTTGTTCTGATTCTTTTTTCACAACATGACTAATGTGGAGATATTTTTAACATGATCATACATGTATACCTATATCAGATTGCTTACTGTCTTGTGAAGGAGGAAGGGAAAGAAGGGAGGGAGAAACATTTGGAACTCAAAATCTTACAAAAATGAATGTTGAAAACTATCTTTATATGAAATTGGAAAATAAAACACTATTAAATGAAAAAAAAGAATGTAAGCTCTGAGAGAGCATGGACTATCTTTTTGCTTGTATTTATATATGCAGCTTAGCACAGTGCCTGTCACATTAGGAGATATTTAATAAATGGTTGTTGATTGATAGCATTTATAGTTTCATACAAAGGATAAAGAATAAACAAAGATACTATCAGACACACTATTAAATAACAGATGCAATAGAATTGCAAAAGTACATGTATTTAAATCAGTGGTGAGCCATTTTATACTACAATTATCTGTGCATGTGTCCTATCCAGTCCATGAAGCAAGGAGCCATATCTTATCTAAATTTTGCATCTCTCCCAGCATCTAGCACAGTGCTTATACACAGAAGGTGCTCAAGTAATGCTCTTTGAGGAGAATAAATTGGAGTTACAGTATGAAAATGACATGTCACAGCAAGAAAATAATAAATTCTAAATATCTCAAAATTTTGATATGTGATGGCAAAAAAAGGAAGGTTACCTTTTAAAAGCATGACTTGTATCTGTTGAAGTCAATAACTATTTAAATTTCTGCCTATTGAAACACTGCCATTTAATATAGATAGATAAATAGACAGATGATAGATACAGATAGATATAGATATAGATACATAGAGAGGGGTTATGGTGAAAGCAAGGACTGTTGAAATTGACTAAAATTTAAAAAGAAACAAAATTTCTTTCTACTGGAAACCATCAACAGCTTACCTGCAAGTTCCATGTTTGCTTTACATATTCTCTGATGAGGTTTTCCTTCAAATCTTCAAATGGACCAGTCTTGGGTTCTACTCCAGGTGGCCTATTACAAGCCTTCTTCAGAAGACAGACCAGACCATCAGACTCTTGAGAATGATAAATGCAGAGTTCAGCAGGGCTTGTGTGGGTCCTCCCTCCAGCAATGGCATATGTCCCATTTAGCTCCTTCTCAATAGTGTAATGATGAGCCTTCCTTCCAAAAGCCACAGATAAAGCAAAGCCACCCAGGTAGTTGCGACTCTGGCGAAGCAGATAGAGTCCATCACTCATTCCTCCCTGAACAAGATAATCTTCTGCTTCTTCACGAGTGATGTTGCCAAAGAAAAAGGGTAAGTGGTTTGCACTATCAATGCTGGTTGCCATGGCCACTTATTAGGCCAAAAGCAATGCTTCTGTACCTAGTAGAGAAAAGAGAGCATAAAGAATTGTCACCTCGTGAATGCAGTGGACAAGACAAATGAGGGCGTGAAAGGATAAAACAATGGATGAAAATATTGCCTCCTAGCAAGTTGTAAGGGAAGCTCTTAAAGTCCTAGGATTACAGATAGAGCTACATGGGATATTAGAATTCATCTTGTCCAAACTCCTCATTTATAGATGAGGAAAGTAAGGCTCAGAGAATTTGTGATTTGCCCAGGGTCACAAAGTTAATGTGTCAAAGTTTAAGAATTAATTCTCAGAATGGTGTTACTTCCTTCTTGGTTTTGACATCCTCAAGTTTCCTGTTATATTTATCACAGTCATGCTGGAGAAGTTCTTTTATTTTTGTAATAGGTGGTGCCAGTATCACCATTTTTCAGACAAAGAAACCAAAACTATGAGAGGTTAATAGCCTGGTCCAAGACAGCCAGTGGCAGAGATGGGAATCAAACCCAGATGACAGCACTCTAAAATCTGGTGTTTATTCCACTACATTAATAATTGTGAAATGTGTCATCTTAGATGAGAACCTAACTATTTAGGTAAATCATGGAATCTTAAACCTAGGGGGAAAAAACCTTAATGATTACATAGAACAAATTCCTCAGGGATCAATGTGGTTCCATGGGAAGAGAGTTAATAAAACTGAAAGAAAAAAAAACAAACACAGAGTTGGCCAAACCTCAAACTTTGGAGAGGGATCAAAAGGGGGAAAAAAGCTTGATTTTTAAAGAGACACATAAATAATAAGTCATAACATATATATTTTACTTTGCTTTATATTCTCAGAATTTAGCACAGTGCCTATATAGTAAGTGTTTAATGAATACTTGCTTATTCATAAATAAAGAAGAAATAAAGGATTATTTTCCCAACTTTTTTGCCAAATTAGCTATCAACAAAATTAAATGAAAGTGATAAATTAAGTTGATGAATTGATGAATATTGATAAAAATATGGAATGTCAAAATAAACAAGAGAATGTAAATAACCCAATTTCAGAAAAATAAATTGAACAAGCAATAACTGAATTCCCAGAATGAAAAGGGAAAAAAAGCCAGGACCAGAAGGATTTACAGAGTGAATTCTATCAAACATTTTCAAAACACAATTGATTCCAGTATTACACATATAATTCAGAAATTTGAGGGAGACAGAAATCAGATAAAGAAAACTATAGACTAATATCCCTAAAGAATATTGATACAGAACTTGAATTGAAATATAGCAAACACGCTATAGCAACACATTAAAACATCTGTACATTTTGACCAGTTAAGAGTTATACCAGGCATGAAAGTTTCACTCACAGGGGCAGCTAGGTGGCGCAGTGGATAGAGCTCTGGCCTTAGAGTCAAGAGGACCTGAATTCAAATCTGCATTTAGACACATGACACTTACTAGCTGTGTGCCCCTGGGCAAGTCACTTAACCCCAATTGCCTCAACAGAAAACAAAAAAAGAAGAAAGGTTCATTCAGAATTAGGAAAGCTATAAAAAAAAAAGGAATACAATTAATATCTCTGTATCTCATTCCCCCTCCTTTTTTAAAAAATCAGAGAGAAAAATATGGCCTAAGCTTACCATTTGACAGAACAATCAGCAGTATGAAACTGAAAATTTTCCCTGGAGAGAGATTGCATATTCACTCCAAAATTAAGTGAAAGCAGTAGTAGCTAAAGAGTGATATGATAATTATGTGTTTAAAGGAAAAGGGGGCCTCATTAGGTAGTCCAGGTGCTGGTCCAGGCTCAGGTTCAGGCTGGCCTTTCCTTTTAATAGTTTTCTCTTCATCTGGACCTCCCAGGTTAACCCTTTTGGGCCCTTTGCCTAGTGCCTTGTGCTGAAAGACACCTACAAATGAGTGACTCTGTTTTTGTGTGTTTTCTTAACCTTAAACAAATTTCTTACAGGCTTATATTTACACAAACAGATTGCTTAAAGTGAACCTCAGGAGTACAGGCAAAAAAGATGACAACTGTGATTTTTCACAAAACTAGTGATGGAATTAACAACATTTTAATTTTGTATGTTTCTTTTTAAAGTAGACCTTTGATTTCATTGATATAGAAAACCCTCATTGCAGTGATGAGAAAATTCTGCCAATGCAGAATGGCAGTTGTTCTACAAGTTAGAGTGTTAGAATATTACTGAGGTACTGAAAAGACAAGTGACTTGACCAGGATCATGTACCCAGTAAGTTAGAACTGGGATTTGAATCACTGTCTATAACTCAGAGGCCCTCTCACCATGTGCAGGGCCAGCATGCATTTAATAAATGCTTCTTCATGATTATCCTTAAGAAATCTTAACTTCATTGACACGAAGAAAAGCCTCAGGTTCTACTGATGTAGATATCTTTTTTCTTCCTTTTTTTTCGATATCTTTTTCTTTCAGATTGAGTCAGCTCAAATGCACCTTAGGTTGAACTATCTTAGTATTCTTAAATATCCTCAACAGTTAAGTGTATCATCAACCTTCACTTGGTCTATAATACTCCCAGTTTTCAAACATTAACATACTGAGATTTGTGAATACCACATAAAACATTCTTTGGACTGATCCTTGCAGTAAGAATTCGGACATAACCTAATAGAGATGAAATTAGACGTTAGTGGTCTCTGATCAGTTCTGGTTTTACTTCTGTGAAGGGAGTGTGAATTTTCAGCATATTTAATCTTTTCACATTTTAAAATCTTGCTTCTTTAATGCCCTTATCCCTGTGGTTCATTTCAATTTTTTATGTACTTATGAACTTACTCATGAACTTTGAATTAAATGAAATGCTCCTGAGTAAAAAAACAAAAAACAAAAGAAAGAAAAGTTCATTCAGAATTAGGAAAGCTATAAAAATGAGAGAACATTTAAGAACCAAAAAATCATGATTATGTTAAGGGATACAGAATTTTCATTTTTTTATGAAATACAATAAACATTTCTATTAAAAGAAAACATTAAGTAGGCATAGGACTAAATGGACCTTTTCCTAACGTGGTAAAAAAAAAAATCTAACTGAGAGCCAGTATTACATGCAATGGAGATATATTAGAAGCCTTTACAATAAGATTATGGGAAAATCAATGAGTTCAATTTTGACTACTACCATTTAATACAGTGCTAGAAATTCTAGCTATAACATTAAAATAAGAAAAATTAATTTTGATAATAAGTATAGCTAAGGAGAAACAAAACTACTATTTTTGTAGCTAACAGAATAGAGTAGATAGAATACTGGGCCTGGAGTCAAGAAGAACTGAGTTCAAATCTATGCTCAGACACTTACTATCTGTGTGGCCCTGGACAAGTCACTTAACTCTGCTTGTTTCCTCACCATGTACAGGGCCAGTATGCATTTAATAAATGCTTCCTCATGATTATCCTTAAGAAATCTTAACTTCATTGACATGAAGAAAAGCCTCAGGTTCTACTGATGTCGATATCTGTAAAATGAGATAAAGAAGGAAATGGCAAACCACTCCAGCACCTTTGCCAAGAAAACCCCAAATGGGGTCATGAAGAGTCAGAAATGAGTGAAAATGATTGAACAACAAAAAATAGCAATTTATAGCCATATACATAAATACATGCTGATATGCATATATGTACTACTATACTAATATATTATGGGTATTATAAGATGAAAATTATTAAAAGCTCAGATATTGATGAAATCATATCTTCACTTTTAGGGAAAGCAATATTATTGAATTCTTGAACATCTTGATTTAACACTGATACAGCAATTCAAAGGTCTGGCTCTCAACTGAATGACTATAACATCTGAAAATAACACCTTTTACTTATTTTGGCTGTTATTTATTTTTGTTCTGTCATTTCCAGAACCAAAGCAATTATCCTTGGCAGACAGAAGTAAAATCAAAATAAGGAAGATCTGCTTTTTCTCTATTGTCACTTACTACTCATTTTCCATCAGCAACTCTGCACAGCTTTATACCACAGAACACCTCCCCATCCCAGGATAAACTGATGACCTGCTATCTCATTAACATGCTAATTATTGATATTCTAGACCTTCTCAACTTATCCTCAATAGCCTTGCCCTGGATATTGGAAGGCTAAAGTGCAGAGCACTAAAGCCTTCCTTTAGAAAAGTCTCACAAACTCTATTACCCATGAGTTGTTCTGCTTGACTTCAACACCACATCCACACCTCTTGGTAGACACCCTGCCCCACCCTTTGCAGCTTCCTTTTACGTGTTGTTTCCCCCCATTAAATTGTAAACTCCTTGAGGGCAGGGACTGACTATTTTTCTTATCTGTATCCCCACAGTTTAGCAAAGTGCCAGACACACAGCAAGTAATAAACGTTTACTGAACAGAATTGAATTAAATTTGCTCCTCAAATTAAGTATTTTCTTTATGTTGGAGTAGGGATTCTCATGTCTAAGCTACAAAGGAAATTTCCAAGTAAATTTTTTAAACTGTTTGCTCTAAACTGAGATGGTTGTGTAGCGACTGGCTGGTTGACCAAAGAATTTCTTTGTTCTTAGCCACTCAATTTATGCTTAGGTGAAAGAAAATAGCTACAGATACTTTTCCTTAAAAGCATTTTTGCAGCTGCCACCACTAACTTAATTTTGTATTGAAAGGGAGGTGATACATGTGTGAGGGAAAAGCAATCTGCAGCAATGCAGCAATTGATGAGAATTGTCAAGCAAGTAAAAAGCTTAATTGAAGTGGGTAGATGAGTCTATGAACACCTGCAGAACTTTATGCTCTAGTGACTCCCAAAGGAGTGACTTTTGAATTACCCATCTGTAATTCCCATAGACAGCTGTATTGAAGGGTAATCAAACAGGATGGCCAGCATTTTCTTATGAAATGGAGCATCCTAGAGCACTTTATGTTCAAAGTGTGCTCCAGGGACCACTAGGGATCCTTGACATGCCTTCAGGGTAACAGGGTATTGGCCCTGGAAACCCTCTCCCCCCAACTTCCCCTGAATTCTCCCACATGTC